ATTACTGCCAACGATTTCTCCCTGCAATTTGACAAATCGACTGATATAGTTGATACAGCTGAGTTGACTGTTTTTGCAAGAATAGGTTTGATAATCTCGAAACAAGAGAGGAACTGGTAAAGTTTATATATTAACCAGATGCACTATAGGTCATATTTGTAGCTGTTAAAGATCTCATGAACTCTGCAAATATTCCTATAAATAAATTGGTTGGTTTTTGGAGCTTTTTTGATGGAAGGCAGATGGAGCTTTTTTTGATGGAAGGCAGATAGAAGGGATTCATAACCTTGTGTCGTAAAGTCAACAGCTTTCTAAAATTTCTGTCTTACCATTGTGTAATACATCAGGAGTCACCATGTGGAAAATTTCTAAGTATGAACAATGTAATGAAAACAGTCATAAAATAGTGAACAAAGTTAGAGCAGATGCAATTCAGAGATGTTTATTCAGAGCATTGACTGCTGAACTAGATTGCCAGTATATTGATCGAATTCTTCATATGAAAGTTCTTCAACATCTCTGGCAGTATATTGATCAAATGCTTCATACAGAAGTTCTTCAACGTCTCCTTACAACAGCAAATGCCTTAAAATTCTTTCCGATTTGACAATAGAATTTAATAAACACTTCCAGCATTTTAAAAGGATTGAAATTGTTGCACAGTTTGTCAAATTGCCTTTTATAGAGATTAAATGCTGAAGAGTTCTGTACTTGTGTTATGGAGCATATTGATTTTCAGAATGATTTATAAGCCAAATCACTTTCTTCAAATTCTGAAAATATTTGGCCACTTGTTCCTTAAGAAAAATACCCAATTTTGGTTCAGGTTTAGTCTGAGAGTTAAGGCAATATTCAGCTCTACATATCTGTGCGAAATTTCATTTTTTTTGTATTCAAATAGTAGCAACTACGTACTCTTCCAACATTAAAAAACTTGTTGATGAGAGAAAAGAGTTTCATTCTTTCTTATGTACAGTTCAGTTTCAGTTTGTTTTTGTTGTATACAGTTTAACTTAAAAAATTGACTTAATATTACTAAATTGACTTAATATTTACTACAAATGTAAGTTTATAGTCAATAAACAAATGTAAGATTTTTTAAAAAGAAGTTGGTAGTGTTTTTCAAGGTTTGAATGCAAGGTCTAAAAAGTTGCTAATAAATAAATTCTTGACATGGATAATAAAATAAATTAATCACCAACTCCAGTTTAATATTAAAAGATAATGAAAATGCACTGAATTATATGAATTTATTTAGAGCAAAAAATTGCTGAGGTTTACAATCTGCATTAAAAAAAAGTATTGACATATATAATGTAGATGCAGAAAATGCAAAAAGACTTAAAAAAATTGCCTCTTCAACCAAAATGTTACATAGTGTAGTTTTGTTAAAATGCTTATTTTTATACTGTATATTCGGGCACAAAACACATACTTTTAATACAAATAATATGATCGGAATTTACGAGTGTGCATTATACGCAAGATATAAAAGTGATATATTTAAATAATAAGGAAAAGTTGAGCATACAGAAATTAGATTTCTACATGTGCTTAAATGCTGTTTATTTAAAAGAAATGCCACAGTTTATGAGCTTAAAAAAGTTTTATTATTGGATAATTCTCCATTATCAGATAATTTTTTTTATGTAAAGCGTATTAATTATTGTGCTTCCATTCCTTTAGAAAAAACATCTGATATATAAACATCTCTATAATTCTGCGATTTCTTTTGGGTCAGAAGTGCATTCTTACCCCAAATTATGTTCCCCTTTTCTCAAAACCCTAGAATAGCATTCTTGTGCACATCTGCATTCAATACAGCTCTTTACATAATTATTTATTCTTTCAAGTGCTTCCTCCAACACATATTGTTCCTCTTATGGATTGCCAATTCAGTATACCATTGTTCTAAAGTCTGGGAAAAATCTTCGAGTGAATGATTTCAAAGTGCATTGTGCGTGTCTTTCAGGTTTCTTCTTAAAGAAAAGGTTGTGTGTTATACGATGATTATACCAAAAATTCAGTTTAAAATTATAGGTCTGCGTTATACTCTGGAATATATGGTACATACAAGGAAAAATTGTCATTCGATTTGCCATTTGGAAAAATCAAAACTTTGTTTATATGGAAAATTCAGTGCTAATTACAAGCATTTATAGGTTAAGTGTTCAGTAATCTACTGAATTATATGCAACATCATACTCTAAATAGAGTAACATTTTTTAACATTGTAAGTAACATAACATCAGAAGTAACATAACTAACATGATTTTCATTTACAGATGTTTTACTTATTGTGGAACAATTCTACCAAGATTAATTCTTCATAAATTAATTTCTTGTGAAGAAGCTTTTATTTACTCTAACTCATCTTTCATTTAAATCAGATAAGCATCATCTTTGCTACCATGTGAAAAATTTGAATGGAATGGAAAAGCATATTTTTACTTTATATATGTATTTTATTTTATGCTGAACATTACATTACACAACTAAAAAATCAAGGAAAGAACATTAACTACTCTTGGTATTCACTGAGGAATATTAGTGTTCACACTTACTTGTAATAATTATATAATTAAAAATTCTCACTCAACAAAGTTTTCCTGATTTCTTCTTGCACTCACAAACAATTGCACATTACAAAGGCAAACATATCTTTAAATTGAAAAATCTGAAAACATATTTACATTGTTTTGGGAGGTTCTTTATGCTTTACAATGATGCTTTAAAATTACAGAGTTTTTTGGCTGTTTTAGTTTCTTCTACAATGTTTCATACCGTAATGTTTTAGAACTGTAATAATTCTTTTTTTTGCTTTTTATTTAACCATGATTTTTCTGATATTTTTCTCTGTTATGTTTTTGTGGCAGTGCTTTGTTGGATGCCATGGAACTGGCTTTAGCACAAATAAAACATTGCCACTTAACCCAAAATTTATATAAAGTATCATTTAAAGGTTGTAAGTCAAATTAAAAAATTATGCATGTAAAGTTAGTTTTGAAAACATAATAAGTTAAATCTGAAATGATATAATTTTTGATTTGGCAAGATCATAGGCCAGTCATGGTAAAAAATGAGTACATATTAAGAAAGTATACTCTCATTTTTAATTAAAATTCAGCTGGATAATAAATAAAAAGCAGTCTTGTTTCAGTGACATGTATAAATCACAATAAGGTAATGGATTAGTTTGGATTACTTTGATTAGGACAACGCTTGTGAAGGCTGTCTGCTTAAGGGAAGGGATGCCTTCGTGCAAGATTTTTTAAGAAATACAGGCTTGTTATCATGTTACATGTATGAAACATCGCAAAAACTGCCATGCAGCTAGCCCATTCATCAGAACTTGAGCCTGCTTCAAACTGCCAGTCTTTGGAATTTATACTGCTTAGCTGTTGGTGACAATAAGTTAAAGATTAGCTATACTGGTGTGCAAAAACTAAAGAGAAGACAGAGAAATTAATATAATAGTGGAACAAGGCAAGCAAATGGAATAAAAGATTCCGGAGGTAGATTTGAAATATGTACAGGGTGGCATATATGGCATGACTTTGGTGAAGAAGTGTCAAAAGACAGTGTCAGTGTCGTGGAGGAGTGTCAGCACGTGGGAGGTATACACTCAGCAATTTGGTGAAAGCTATTGCATAGTGTGTGGTGATTTCAACAATGACATGTTGATACTACCGTATGATATGGCCAGGAGACATTATATGGAGGACTTTAACTGAGATCATAATATGGTGTGTGAGGTTAACAACTGCTCATTAGAAACATTGGTTTCTATGTTACCAGCAACACTAGAACTGGACACAACAGGAATGAGGTCAAGTGCTCTGATCAGAGGTGTCATGGACCTGGACTTTCTCTTTTTTGATAACAATTCTACAATTAATTGTCCACAGTTGCTAAGCTCTTGAAGAGTGAAGACATTGAATGTATGGGTTGACCTGCAAGGTCTCAGACCTAAATCCCATAGTACATACGTGGGGCCTTCTGTGGAGATATTTGGCAGCATGTGAGCAGCTGCCAACAAAGCTTCTGCACTTGAAATTAATGCTACAAGGAATGGAAAGCGATGCTTCAACAGCTCTGTGATAACCTCAGCCTCAGTATGGACAGATAATTTCTGTATTGGTGTCAGAGGTGATCATATTCTCTTCTAAAGTTTATATTTTTCATGCAAGTCACCTGTAACATATAACAACTTCTCTCCAGTTCTGCTGGGATATACTTTTCAATAAAATGCGTTTTGATTTCTTGGATGGTTTTGGTCACTTGTTCCATATTTTCACATCTTATGGTATGATAACAAAGCTTCTGCACTTGAAATTAATGCTACAAGGAATGGAAAGCGATGCTTCAACAGCTCTGTGACAACCTCAGCCTCAGTATGGACAGATAATTTCTGTATTGGTGTCAGAGGTGATCATATTCTCTTCTAAAGTTTATATTTTTCATGCAAGTCACCTGTAACATATGACAACTTCTCTCCAGTTCTGCTGGGATATACTTTTCAATAAAATGCGTTTTGATTTCTTGGATGGTTTTGGTCACTTGTTCCATATTTTCACATCTTATGGTATGATTTGGAGTGATGTGGAATACTTCTGGACAATTTTTATTTGGAAAACAGTCTTCTTAAATTTTGCATACCAGTGTAATATATTGAAACAGGAAAGATTAAAAATGTTGAATAACTACTGCTAACAAACCTTTAATTATGTTGTTATATTTTAAAGAAATGTCATGTTAGGTTGGCTCAGAAATTATGCTTCTTTAATAAAAAATACTCTGTTCACATAGTATTTTCTAGTATTACGTCAGTTCAGTTGAAGCAAAAATCTTCCAATAAATAAAAATTTAAATGATAAAAATTGCTTTAGGCTAGTATTTTGCAGAATAATTTTATGAGATAGGGGAAGAAAAGCATGAATTCATTGAAATTTATTGAGTTATCACTTATTGAAATTTATTTTTACATGTTATTTCTGCAGGTGTTTGAAAATGCAGTATTCAAGGAAAAGCATTCTTCTCTCCTCCGACATTCTGTCCTCACAGTGTCTCTTGTTGCTATAACCTTTGCTTTGTCTACGCTTACTGATTGCCTTAGTATTGTTTTGGAATTGAATGTAAGTAATTTAAAAAAATAACTATCAATTTAATTAAAAAATATGTACCATGAAATAAGTAAGATCTTAAAAGTAGCTATGAGGGGTTTTCTCTCAAGGCATATGATGCATGCGGCACATGCCTTTAAATCTGAAGCTATGTAAAAAGGATTTTTATTTTTTAACTCATTCGTATAGTAAAATCTTTATTAATTACTTTAAATACACATTTTTGCATTGTGTCATCAAATTTATTTAGAACCAGAAATTTAAAATGAATGAAATATGCATCGTTCTGTCTTCTCCAATTCTGCCTTTGCATGCTATCTGTATGCGAGCATCATCAATGAAATAACATGTTTCACAAGGACGAATGGAAAACTATCCCTCCTTTTTTCTCGCACTGTTAGATGGATGACCAGCTTTTGCCTAGCTGCATGCTACCTCGGCATAGCACTCAAGTAGGAAAAAATGATTGTTTGTTTTTTAGCACTGAATTTAAAGCAATTTATATCACGTTTTAGGGATTACTATTATGTAAAGGTCACATTTTTTGCTTCCAAATTTACAATTAAATTTCAAATTTAGTTTTGATTAAATTTTTCTTATTGTATGGCTGTTTATTCTTATTTCTGAACTTCTTTGAGAATTCCACCTGATAACACGTTAAACTTATAATATTAAATTAAGCACTTTTTTTTAAAAAGAAAGCTGAAGCATAGCTGAAGGTGAAACAGAGGAGTGTTTAAAGGATTTAATTCAATCAATATTTCTCTTTTGATTATGCTGTGAAAAATAAAAATGATTTTAAAAAGATAAAACTTAACAGGCATGTGCAGTAAATATAACGGTAAAAACACAAGGCATATTCAAACTACATAGTACAAGAAAAGTAGTTTATTAATAGTCTATGATGCTAAAGAAATGTTTTCTTTTGCAATGATCATTATAAGTTATGAATTTTACAAGTTTAGTGTAATATTAATATCTTTTTTAAGAAATGAAAACTTTCTCTCAGATCAGGATTTGAATTCAACCAATGTTTGGATCCTATGCTTTTAAATGTTTTGAGAGAAATCATAATTTTAGCCAGTGATCCTGAAACCTGCCAGCCTGGAGCTTCAAATCAGACAAACTCTGTTATACACCTGAACAGAGTACTGTTATTGGAAAATAACAATGCCATACTTTATTTAGCAGTTAGGAAAACTGATATTAGTACTAGAAACAGAATAAATGAATGAATTTTGGTGAGACGACCAAAATGCGTGCCAAAAGTTCGTCAGCTGAGGAATAAAGTCCACTTCTTAAAATACAAATCCAAAAAAAGATTTTTATGGGCTATATTCAATTGGTCAGAATGTGTCTTATAAATTAGAAACCAAAGTAAAAATATACATATATCTCTCTGCAAAGAAATATGTATATTTTTTAATCCCACTGGGATATAAGTGCAATCCTGTTTTCCTCTGGACTTGTTTTCTCAACCCCCTGAACTGTATGGTGATTAGCTGAGGCTGACTACTTTTCTAAATATCACGGTAAAGGTATGAATCCCATGTAAGGATTATTTATGTGTTGTTCTGCCTTTTAGAGATCATATCAGAGCACCCCTAGTTGTGTACCCTGTACAATGTTCTTGGTGATAAGATGGCTGTGGAACTGAGTGGTTCAGCTATTTTCAACTAATGCGAAGAAGTGTGTGTCCGGGCATTTAAAAAAACACCTTATTTGTGTTGCCATTCTATATAATTCCAACAGTTCTAATTTTAGAGATTAAGTCTTGGTTATAGTTTTAGAACAGGTTTAGAGCTTTTCATATATGAGCCGTAAAGAACAGATCTTTAGAATATTAAGCAAATGAAAATATCTATAAAGATATGATAATAAAAGCAGTAAAATATTAAACTGATTGATAAATTGCATACATGTTGTCATAAAACAAGAGCTGCCATAATCAGCCTGCTGATTCTGCAAACAAATAAAAATTAGAGAAAATTGATAAATAAAGTATAAATGTAGGCACAGTTTTAACATGAATGTTTCTTGTTGCTTGAACCAAATGATTTTATAAATTGCAATTAAAAACTCATTTGAATAACATATAAAGGAAATAGCGATTTCTTAGTTTATTTCAGTCAAAAAGCAGTTTCAGGTTGCAAGAAGCCAATGCACAAAAGAAACAATCCCCCCTCCAAACAGAATGTGTATTGAAAAATGTGAAATCAGTTATATTGTGAAACCGTAATATGTCCAAGAAAATAAGCCAAAAACTTGATTCTGATAAGATGCGAATCTATGAACTTTTTATGAATGCAGGGAAATTTCTTTCTTCTAATTTCTATGTATCTGAAATTTTATTAAATATATTTGACATTAGTTTTACGAATTATTTGAAATTAATTTTCTTTGTTTTGCTTGCTTTGTGTTTGAAAAGAAGCTTGCACATAAATTTATACCATGTGTAAACACCATCAGTATTCATAACATGATAAGCAAAATTTAAATGACTTGAGTCAATGATTTTTTTTTCAGTATCAACATTAATGATATCAGTGAAGACATTTTATCTGGCACTAGGATGAATTCATAATTGATTAGGATAATTTGTTTACTAATTGCATTTGGAAACAAAATATTTACAATACGCTTCCATCAAGCAAAGTTCAATTATGACTCTATGATGTAAACTGTTCACAACCTTTATTTGAAAACTTTCCTTATCAGCATTTCAGACATTAGATCTGATGAACTTTTAATTTTTATTGTGTGCATTTCATTATTTTACATCCTGTGCAGTATTTAACTATATATTAATATGCAAATATTATAGGCAACTTTAAAATACATGTAGTTCTTACATTCATAAATACATTTTTTAAAAATTTGGCATTCAGCAGCATGCCTTCTATGAAAACTCAGGGTGTGCCCATTCTAGCTATATATTACTCAAGAAGGGAAAAAAGTCCATTGTGGTTGTCTCGGTGGCTTATTGTGACCGTAGTTAATAATATTTGGGCATTGGTAAATTTTTGAAGTTTCATCCATGAAATCCAGCATGAAAAAATATCGATAAATTACGATGAGCAATGTGTTTATTGAAATAAAAATATTGTAAAAATTTCTTTCAGCCAAAATTAAGCAGCATTGTTGTGTGTTAAGCTTTGCTGTGCATTTTGTTTAAAACTTTATTCTAGAAAGAACCCAACATTTTGCATTGGCCCTAATTAAAAAAAATATAGCTGTGTGCCTTTTTCCTGGTGCTTTATCATCTCCTTAATTAGTTAGTTTTAATCAGATCAAATATATAATTCTTACTGCAATCCTGCAATTAAATCTCTCATCATCTGAATAACTATAGAATCTATAGAATATCTTTCTTCCACTTTCTGATTTTTTTTCCAAAATTCATCATGATCTTTCCCTCTTGAATTTAAACTTACTGGGTTATGAATATAAATTTCAGTAGCTCATCCAACACATGACAGTTGGCAGTAGAGCCCGAGGAATTGTAGACAGCTATTCATGAACTGCTGATAACTATTGATAGGCTAAAAACAAGGTTTGGCCACGAAGAGCAACTTGTTGAGTATTATGTTAGCAAACTGCTATTGTTGGTAGTGAAAAATGCTATGAATACAAAAATGGAGATGAATGTTATGCAGCTGTATGATAGATTGGAGTCACATTTGAGATCTCTGGAGATGAATCACATAACTACTGACAAGTATGCTACCATGATTATTCCCACTGGTGGAATCATACATTGTAAAAAATTTGTTAAGGGTTTAGTTACATAATCCAATGATCAATAAAGAAGAGAACTATTCTTATGGCAATAAACTGTCTCAGTTATTGTTTCTTCATATGGAAATGGAGGGTGAATAACAAATTTATTTAAAGCTGGTTTTAAATCAAATGAAATTTCAAATAAAAAATGAAAAGTACACAAAAGATGAAATTTGTGTCCCAGTGGCTAATGATCTAGTGTTGGGTACTAAAGCTATGAAACCTGTCTATGTATTTTGGGGAAAAACACATTATTCTCAAGACTGTTTTAAAGGGCGAAAAATGTCTTTTGCAGGGATAAACAAAAAGAAAGGCCTGTTTTGCGTGTTTGAGAATCGGGTATCGTTCGAAAAATTTTAATGCTAATGTTTGATGCATAATTTGCGAAAAGAAGCATTGGACTACAGTATGTTCTAAAATGTGTAATGTTGATAAGAAAATTAAATCAGAGACTTCTCATGTTGATGAAAATGTAATGTCTAATCAAAGCCAAACAAAAGTAAGTTCTACAAATTCTGCTTCTGTCAATTGAAGCAAAAGGGAAGAGAAGAACTGTTATTAGCTTTATTTGATTGTAGCTTATTGTAGCTTTATTTGACATGGGATCACAGAGATCGTAAATTCTTAAATCTACCATGAACCAAATGGGGGTGCCTCCTCAGCAAAGTGAAAGTTTAATGCATGTTCTATTTGGGGGGTATTAGCTCTAGAAAGCAACATAAATGCTACAAAGTATTGGTGAGTAATTTAAAAAGGAATTACTTTTGTGAAATCCAAGTTCTGGATCAACAAGTTATTTGTGGCACATGCCTAGTGTTAAAGAAGGAATCTGGATGGTTGAATTACAGGATAAAGGTGTCAGTCGTACTGATGTAAGAAGACTCACTAGCTGTAGAACTTTTAATTGGAGCAGACTGTGCTGGAAGTTCTTATATTGGGAATGTTTTACACTTATCATCTGGTCTTGTTGCAATACAGGCACCACTCGGCTGGATTGTTATCGGCAAGATAAACAACTGCATTTTATATCAAAGTACTTCATCTTTGATAACCAATATGCTAATCCACAGCAGTGATTTAGAGAATTTATGGAAATTAGATGCTTTAGGAATAACTGATCCCAGTGAAAGCAAGTCTAGTGTAGAATTGGAAATGGCTATATTGGATTGCTTTCAAAGGACCTTGAGAAAAAATGATGATGGTAGTTATGAAGTAAGTTTGCCATGGTTCTATGATTGGGATAATTTAGCAGGCAATAGAGACACTGCTGAAAAGAAATTGCTCTAAACCACAAAGGAACTTAAGTTAGAAGAAAAATTTGAAGACTAAGATTGGTTACAATCAGGAGTGGTCAAGGAAGTGCCAAATAATGAAGCAGAGGAGAAAATACACTACCTTCCACATCGACCAGTTTTCAAAGAAAACTCCTCGTCACTGGTTAGACTGGTATATGACACATTATAAAAAGAAAACATTTTCTTCCCTAAATTCAAAAGGGCCAAGTCTTCTAGATTTGCTTTCAGCAGTATTGCTTAAATTTAGAGAGGAGGATAAGCATTATTTCAGATATAAGGAAGGCATTCTTACATATTTACATTGATGAGATGGATTGAGATGGCAATGATATTCTAAGGTTTCTCTGTTGGAAGTGTGCTGAACAGTCAGAGATAAAAGATTTTCGCCACTGCCGTGTAGCATTTGGGCTAAATTGCAGTCCTTTTCTTCTTGGGGCTATGATTGACTCACTCAGTATCAGACACCTCTCAGAGTATGATTGAGAAACTTAAAACTTCCTTTTATGTTGACAATTGTGTGACTTCTGTAGATTCCGATGATGATGCAAGTTTTTTCGTTCAACAGGCAACCGAGATCATGGCAAATGAACATTTTGATGTAAGAGGATGACAGAGAACAGAAACAAAAAAGATTTATAGTGAATCTTAGCCTTTTAAATGTACTAGAACTATTGTGGGATAAACAGTTAGAGATCTTCTATATTGTAACGTTTGAGATAAAGGATTGAGAAAACTTCCAGTGACCAGAAGGAGTTTGCTGTCTTTTGTATCTATGTTTGATACAATAGGAGTTACTGCCCTTTTACCCTTCTTCAAAAGGTGTACTTACAAAAGACCTGAGAAGAAAAAGTGAGTGGGATGCTGAACTCCCAGACGATATTAAAGAGAAAGTTTTAAAGTCGGTGAATGATGTACCTTTATTGTCCTCGGTGAAGATATCTAGACCGGTAAATGATGTACAGTCACACAACCTACACACTTTACTGATTCGCTGCCATAGTTGATTTGAAAAGTAAAAATAAAGAGCAAGTAAAAGTGCAGCTTCTTCAATCCAAGTCCATAGTAGCTCCGTTGAAGAAATGCACAATCCCCCGACTTGCATTACTATCCTGTTTCATTAGAGCTAGATTAGCTGTATTTTTAGGGGGGGGAAGTCTCGAGATTGAGATTTCAAAAGAATACTCTTGGACTACCGTAGCCCTCTATTAGATTAAGAGTAATGAGACGCGAGGAACATCCATAAACAACGAGTTTAAAGAAATATGAAAACTGACAAAAACTGAAGACCGGCACCATGTTCTAAGAACCGTAAATCCAGCAGATTTACCCGCTAGAGGATGTTCTTCCAACAAATTAATAGAAGTCAACTATTGGGAGGGACCACATTGGTTGGCACTGGCTGAAGATAAGTGAACCTTGCTCAAATCCAGTTGAAAATGAAAAGGAAATAATGGCTGAAAAAGTTATATAACTTCAATATTAAACTGTGATGGCAATATGAATTCATGGATAACGCGTCATATCTTGACATACATGAAAATTTTAAGAAGGGTAGCATGGATGCTTAGATTCATTAGTGAAAACACGAAAATGGTAAGAAAGTAGAAGAAACTAGAGAACTAAACGTATGCAAATTTTCTTTGTCCGATCAATCTCTTCTTGCCTTGCCAGTCAATCAAAAAAAAAAAAAAAAAAAAACACCTGTTGTGACAAGAAAGTGGAAGGACTATTAAGTTACCTTCTAGATTTCTGGAATGAAATTTTAAACTGAATTATTATTTTGACCTGAGAACTTTATTGCATGTTTTGATTACTAATTGTATATTATTAATCAAAAGGTGGGAGTAATGTTGCACAATTACTCCAACTTTAGGTAGCCACAAATCAAATCTGGCAACAAATGTAATGAAATAATTTTCTCAATGCAACTGGCATCACTGTTTATGTTTAAAATTAATTTTGTTGTAGAAAATAAGTTTATAATAAATCTTTTAAGGAGGGAAAAAAAAAAGGTAGATTAGCAGTTTCTCCATTCTCAATAACAGTATTTCTTAACAGTGATGTCATCTTTCAGATTGATGATATTTCTCTCACATCACACTGTGAAGAAAGTTGAGGAATATACCTGGAAGATTGCAAGGAACATCTTTTATTAGTATTGTCCCATTTAGTTGCTAGATTTGACTCCAGTTGAACACTTGTGGTTTGTGTTGGAGATACTGTTATGTTGAGAAAAAGAGATTTAAACAAATTTAAACTTTATCAGGTTAAACTTTACTGGTGATGAATGTTTAACTAAAAATTAGTGCTGCAAAGAATATTGATAGGAATTTATTTACAGCTTTCTCAGGCAGCAGCTGTACTATAACACACTCAGCAAAATATTGTCATAGAAGAGAACCCTACATATGAAATGGATCCTTTCTTTCTCCTTTTTCTACTTTTGATCTTCAAAACCTATTAAAGGAGATAATACAGATTTAACCCTTTGCAGCACAATGTGCGCTGTCTGGACACACCTAAAACTTTTCCTCTGTACACACAGAAAAATTGAATGAAAAAGAATTTAAAGGTTACTCTGAACTTCTTTATTTATATTAGATGGCAGCTCAACACAAACTAGTCCATATATTTTATTTTAGCCATGTTTAATTTGTTAGATGTATGTTCAAGAAATCTTCCCAGATTTTTTTTAGGGAAAAAAGGAGTTATTTGAAAGGAATCTATGTTGTTATTTGGTGTATGCTATCTGCTTATTCTATATTAGTCTTTAAATTTTGACCGTGAAATCGATGACTAAAACGAACGGCGATCGAGGTGTCCCAGACTGGGCTCCACTCACCATGAGTATAGGTCAATGGAGGCAGCTGTTATCTTCTGTTCTCTGAGCTCACGGTTACAGCTCATTGAAACACGACGATGGGTCCAACATCTGTGTTGCATTTCCTGTTTTATTTTCTTTTCATTTTTGAAGGGGGGGAGGGATGGTAGTTATCAATAGAAAAGAAATTGTTGGGGATTTTCTGAAGCAGCCGGGATAATTTATTGGTTCGATGTTTGGTTTTTCACTAGAGCAGTTTTCTTTTTCTCTTTCGCTTGGGTCGTTCAAGAAGTTTTCTTAGCGCTACGTTTAAATAGTTTTAAGTGTTGATATTTATATTTTTATGTTATAGTATAATTTCAATTATAGATATAATATAGTTTATTTTGTTCAGATTGTAATTATTTTTCAAATGGTTGTGAGGGGGACCCTAAAGCACTGAAAGTGTACACGAATTGCTTTCAGATCGTGAATCTGATTACGGCTTATAGAAAATATGCAAAAATGCAAGATGGGTTGTGCTTTTTTAAAGGTGGTTGGTTGTCACTCTTGCAAAAGGACCACGTGAAAAAAATAGACTACATTGTACATATAAGTTAATTTTGCCCATTCTAAGCATGTAATCATCATATAACCAAAAGGACCTTTTTAGGGGGTGTAGAGTAGCAGATTTCCCCGTGGTACACCCTGGGTAATGCTAAATCTGCTACGGTATTTAGAATCTAGTGTTTTTTAATGATAGGCAAAATCTCTTCTTTTACACGCTTCCCAGCAGTGCTCGTTTCAGCACTCTTTTTGAAGCTCTATTCAATCAGTGTGCCCACTTTGGGCACACCCACAGAATTAAAACGATAAGTGCTATCTTTACAAAGTTTTACTTGTGTACTCTTCTAGGCCTAATTAAACTCCCTTCCCTTTTTTTTAAAAAAAAATTCTAACTTTAAAAGGTAGCATTGCAGAAAGGGTTAGCATAGCCGTCAATACCACCCAGGCAAATGATGTCCAAGAGAAAGAATTTTTCTGAGACAAAGATTCCATGATCAGAGACTTCAGGACTGCCTCTGGTTTTCCTGGGATGTGGGGAACCGCCAGATATGGTTGGCAGCCTATTTTTTTTATACTCAGATCTTATCAGTCAACCTGAAAAACACATCTTTAAAAACTGCCAATGTGCAACCTGCAAGGAAAACTCCCATCACACACTCCAAATAATAATAATACAGGCTGCCTAAGAAACAATAATTCTGAGCCATTGTGCTAGTTAGAAATTTAGCCTTTCAACAAAATGAACAAAATTAGTTTACAATGCCTTGTCTCCCACACAGCCAGGCTGATGAGTTGCCAAATTCCTATGCAAAACCCAGAAGAAAAAATTTAGATCCACCTTTTAACTTTTAAAACAAGAAAAATCATATCATGTCTTTAATTTTTTCTTTCCCTTATAAACAAAAGCAATTTATTTTACAAAATGGAGATTTTTATTCTAAGTCAACAAAAGTGGCAGAAACAAAGAACGGTAACTTTCATACACACATCATTGTAATTTTTTTCCATTGCTTTCCTATCCCTCCCTAAAGTGTATGTTCAGAAAACTCCCTGTTCTTTCATGCCTTATCCAAAAATTAAAGAATGTGAGAAATCCTAACAAAAAGAATAGAGTTACTCTAAAATGGATCTCGACTTCTAGAAAAATAATGCTGCCTTTGATTAGCAACTTCATTTAAATTTACAAAATCTAATTCATAATTAAATACATTTGTGACACTTGCGACACCACAGTATGGTTACAAGAAACATGAACCCAGCCACCTAATTTAGAGAAAATGAGAGATGAATTGAGCTTATAACGCCCATATCAAGACACTTAAACATATATAATTAAATCTTCATTTTTTTAATGCAAAAGCATTACAGATGACAAGTGCAAAATTTGCATTACGTATTGCAAATAATTTTGCTGTTTTTTTCTGTGTGGTTTATATTATTTAAAGGTAAAATTCACCAATAAATTATGAATTCCACTGGGTTGAATATTGCTAAGTGAATGTTCTCATTTTATGGTAATCATAAAATATTGAAAAAAGCATTTAGTATTTATTCATTTATGTGAAAATTAGTGTCAGTAAGTGAGTTGAAATAATA